TTTTCCGTGCAGGAGGTTCCCATGATCCCTCGGCCCCACTATGCCCAGCCTGGCTGTGTTTATTACATCTGCCTGCTGCGGGACGATCTGCTGCTGCGCCAGGGTGAGTTCAGGGATTCATCACCATCCTGCAGGCATTTGGGGCATTTCCCTAAAGGATTTCAGAGCAAAATGGGCATTGGGACATCACAAAAACCTGCAGAATGGGCATTGGGACATCCCAAAATCCTGGGAGAGCTCCAGGGTTTCATTGAAACATCCCAAAAACCTGTGAGAGACAGAATGGTCATTGGAACATCCCAAAAATCTGCAGAATGGTCATTGGAACATCCCAAAAACCTGGGAGAGCTCCAGGATTTCCTTGAAACATCCCAAAAATCTGCAGAATGGTCATTGAAACATCCTAAAAACTTGTGAGAGACAATATGGTCATTGGAACACCTCAAAAACTATAGAATGGGCATTGGAACATCCCAAAAAACTGGGAGAGCTCCTGCAGGATTTTATTGAAATATCCCAAAAACCTGTGAGAGAGCTTCTCCTGTATTTGATTGGAACATCCCAAAAACATATGAGAGCTCCAGGATTTCATTGGAACATCCTAAAAACCTATGAGATCTCCAGGATTTTAGAGCAGGATGGTCATTGGAACATCCCAAAAATCTGCAGAATGGGCATTGGAACATCGCAAAAACCTGGGAGAGCTCCAGGATTTCATTGAAACATCCCAAAAACCTGTGAGATCCAGAATGGTCATTGGAAGATCCCCAAAACCTGTGAGAGACAATATAGTAATTGAAATATCCCAAAAAACTGTGAGAGACAGAATGGTCATTGGAACATCCCAAAAATCTGCAGAATGAGCATTGGAACATCCCAAAAACCTGTGAGAGACAAAATTGTCATTGGAACACCTCAATTTAATAGAAACACGAGAGAAAAACATTCTGCATGACTCAAAAATGTGAAAGGAAATATCAGAAATTGTTATGCACAAAATAACAGAGCGGTTGTGCCATTC